ATAAACATCTTGACACTTTTGAGAATTACTTTACATCGTATTCTACATAAAGATTTTTGAAAATTGGCACAGCTCACAGTTCAGTTCAGAAGAAATGATGGGGTTTTAAGGGTCATTACTGAGAACAATTTTACAGTTTTATTGTTGTCTTTTATTCACCTGGTTTATTTTGTACAGTGGGGTTGGGAAATATAGATAAAATCCATGTGTAACACTATATGTACTTTTACATCTCAATACAGATATGGTAGATTACACTGAGAAAGAGTGTATGGATAAAACAACCACACAGGGATGTCTGTTTCTGGCCTATCTGAAAATCTCCTATTGCAAACATTATTCCGCAGTATATTAGTGTATTATGACATTTTCTGTGTTCCCATCCTGATCAATCAAAACTGATAACCAAAACACAGGAATTAAATAACCACATAATAAAACAACGGCGCTCGGTTATATCAGTGTTTCGATGTCATAACATCCAGGAAGTGAAAGTTGAAAGTTGGGAGACTGATGTCCATCACATGTTAGTCATGAGAAAAGCAGTGCGTTTCTTTCTGTAGGCCTCAAGATGCAGCAGCATGACTTCTGTCAAAATCACATCCACCAACACAAAACAAGCAGCAGCAACATCTGACTGTTTTATTCCACATGAGTTCGGCCCAATCTCTTTCATTACTGCTGTCAAACAGGAATCATCTGGCACTTGAATTCATCTGCAGGGAAACACTGAGTATAAACACACACATGTGCACGCATGCTCCACATTTCACTGTCAGAACAAGAGGACCACTGGGAAAAATGTCCACTTTTTCTTCTTTTATGTTTCTTTTCATGAAGTTCTCGACTCTGCAGCACTTTAAAGCATATCTAACCATCATTTAAAGGGAAACTAAATGGAAATTCATGTTTTGACAAAGAACTTTTTCATCATATTTCTATATCAGATTGGCAGACACTACCAAAGCTACTCTTTTCTAACACACGCAAGAAACCTGAGGGTTCAGTCGCTCAGTTCACTTTATAACTAATTTCGAATCTTTACACACACAGCAGATAAAATGTCCTATGGATGAATTGATGAGTGCAGCTACAGATAATTGATGTGCAACTATTTTTGACAATCAAGTCACGGTTTGAGTCATTTTTCAAGCAGAAATTTCAAACATTTGTTTCTCCGGTGTGAAGATTTGCTGCTGGCCAGACAGAGAGACTGGGCTCTGAGAAACTGTGTTGAGTGTTTTGTTCTTATTTTCATCGTTGTTGACATTTAAAAAACAAAACAACTTATTGATTAATCAAGAAAGTAATCATCAGACTCATCGATAATGGCAATAATGTGCTAATACACGCTATGTGGAACTCATTGGGGGCCACTATGACTTCCTGACTGTTGTATAGGTCATTGATAAAGAACCTGAATTAATCCCATGGTTAGTGTTGGTGCTGATGTGCATCAGTGCATCTTTAGATTTGTTCTAGGTCCTTTAGCTCCAAGTAAGGGAACCAGGACCATAAAGAAATGATTTCCCCAGTTTGACGTGGAGGAACCTTTCATTTTTATTTTTTTTTCTTTAAAGAAAGCTGGATACGTCGCTGCCGCTAAACCTCACTGCTAATTTTATACTGCAACCATGGCGTGCAATTGTCATCCGAGTGAGCTGTGGAGTCCAGTGTCCACTTCCTATAATACATCCATGGGTAGAACTTGCTAGAACTATCTTGCACAGGCCATATCAAACATCGTCAGCGGTTGGACCTCACTAACACTCTTGTGGTTGAGTGCACACACATCCCTGCAGCCAGGGTCCAAAATTATGTGGGAACTGTTCCCACAACAGCTTATTAAGAACCGTGGTTTTGGAGTGACAAGTTCAATAAACACAAATGGGCGTGAGGTTTGAGCGTCCGCATACTTTTGGCCACATAGTCTATCTATCTGGCTACTTTTATCAAGTTTCTCATGTTAGTTTTATGACTTTAGTGAAGCTGAATAATGTTGGATCGTCTTTCCTTGTGGCAGACATACATTTAAATGTTCTGGTTTTACAGTGCAGTGTCAACATAAAGGTGAAGCGCCTCAGGGTAGACTGCTGGAGGTGGGGTAGACACCAGTCCTGCCACTCACTCTCTCTCTGTCACACACACACACACACACACACACACTCATAACTCACTCACTTCACCAACACCACCCCCCCCCCCAAAAAAAAATGAAAAAGAAAAAGAAAGATAAACTCCCAGGGAGAAACTTTTCCTAAAAACCAAGGCGAGCGAACATGGCAGACTTACGTAACCGTGTGCGTGACACAGAACTATGTTAATTTGAGTCGAGGGAGGGAGGAAAAAAACAACCCCCAAAAAAACACACAGAGACAGAAGGAAAGACAGGAAAAAAGTATGTTGTGGCAGTCGGAGGAGGAGGAGAAAAAAAACAGAGCGAGTCTCAGATTACGCCATCTTCCCTCCCTCCCTCCCTCCCTCCCTCGTGGAAACATTGCGTGAGAGCGCTCTCGCTCCACGTCCTGATTATGATTAATGCAGGTAGTACCACACACACACTGAAACCACGGTTCTGGCAGGGTTCTGCCGTGGTTCTCTGCTCTGGCCTGTGGTTCTGTATGAAGCAGTTAACACTCTGTCTGGCTTGTTAAAGTTAAAAATCACAATCTGGTAAAATCACAGTGAGGAAGACAGTGTGGCTGAGAGCAGCTCTTATGTTCTCAAGGGTTCTTTACAGCACCATGAAGGGTCAAGGGTGAACTATGTCAGCATGGCGCTATAGAGAACACCTCCAAAGGTTCTTTACAGCACTATAAAGGGGCTATGATTAATTATTCAAGCATATTGCTTCAAGAAACCATTTCTAAAGGTTCTTTTCAGAACCACGAAGGGTCTAAGAGGAACCACTCATGGTGTTTTAAAAGGTCATGCACTAGAGAACTCCTCTAAAGGCTCCTTATGGCACCATAATAAGGAGCCTTAAAGAACATATCTAGAAGGATCTTTACAGCTCCATGAAGGGTCTAAGAGGAACCATCAGAGCATTGTGCATGTCTCAAATGTTCTTTGTACCATGAAAGGTCAAAGAACCCTTTATCAGGACGCCTACCACCATGAAGTGTTTAAAAATAACCATTTGACCATGCAGCTTCAGATTATTTCTGCAGAGGGTTCTTAACAGCACCATAACGGGTCTGTTGCTTTATTATCTAAGCACTCTACAATCGTTTATAGCACCACTGAGGGTCTATAACAAACAATTTGAGCATAGTGCTTCAGCAAATCTCTCTACAAGTTTGTCATAGCACTATGAATAGACGAAGAAGAACCAGTTTGGCACGGTGCTTCAGATTACTTCTGTAGAACGTTCTTAAAGTATTGGTTCTACGGAGAATATTTCTAAAGGGTTCTTAACAAACAATTTCCACTTGATGCTTCAGAGATCCTCATTTTAAAGCACCATTAATGATCTATTATAATTTTTTTGTGTATGGAACCTGTCTAAAAGTTATGAAGATATGAAAAAGGAACCATTCCACCACAGTGCTAAACCACTTTGAGGGTTCTAAGGTGGACTCTTTGCACATGGTGCTTTATTGTACTTCCCTTGACGGCTCTTTACAACACCACTTGTGGTTTAATCACAACTATAAAAGTACAGTGCTGTGGAAAACCTTTAGGAATGGTTCTTTACAGCTGCATCAAAGGTCAGTGAAAGAACATTTGTCCATGTTTCACTAGAGAACTAGTCTGAAGGTTTCTTCATAGCAAGGGTCTAAGAGGAACCATTTGAGTGTGATGCTTTAAAGTATTCTTTACAGCACCATTCGGGTCTCTGAAGAACTATTCAAGCATTGTCCACAAAAGAACATCTCACATTTCACATAGAACCAACTCAGTCTAACAGGGCTTCCTTTGAACAAAACTAGGGATTTGCTACAGTACATGCAACCCTGAAAAATGAATTTCTGGCGCAAGAGTGTGCAGCTCTCAGATTGTGGTCGGGGGCCCTCCGGGGGACCATGAAGGGGAACCCAGGACGAAAACATGCCATATACAGTACCAAACGTTTGAGTAGTACAGTACATATTTGCTTAAAGCAGAAGAACCATAAAAAGGTGGCATGATGAGGTTATTGATGTGGGGTTTCACTCTCTCCACTGTTACCCTCCCTTCCTATGGAGCACACTCAAAACAAAAGCATGTACTCAGAGGAGGTTTCTTCTGAGGAGATCTTAAAGGAGTGATTTAAAGCATGGAGACCATTTGCATGAATCAGTCTGGGAAGCCCAGCTGTCTCAGATGGTATAATTAGATTTAAATAATACTGAAGCAACAGTTGTCTTTATTTTCCATGCTGGATAGGCCTGCAGTGTTGTTGGACTTCGGCACATTACCTCGGTCTGGCTCGCCAACACTGCACAACCACAGCAGGGAAAATAGACTTTATGGCCTCATGGATTCAACTAAGGACAATGCAGCTACTATTGCAAACAGAGTGCAACTTATAACCTACTACACCCTTAATACCATGTTACACAGGCTGCAATGCATACTGTATGTATTACATACTGACTAACCAGTCTGGAGATGTTTGCACAGCTGTAACATCCTAAAAAAAGACCCATCTCTTTTTTTTTTTTATACAAGATGCAAAGTAAAAAGTTTTAACTTCATGAATTAAATTACACATAAAAGCAAAGTATTGTGCAAAAAAGCATTAAAAAGCCATTAATGCATGATGTTTCTATAGACTTATTATAAGTTATATGTGTTATATCACTACTGAAGAACACAAGCATAATGGTATTGCAAAGGTATTACAGTAGAAGTACAACAGGCGGTACAATAGGGTCACCAGAGACACTTAAGGAATACCACAGACATCATAAAGTCAGTTTATACAATATAATCTCGCCGTTTAGACATAATATGAGATGTTGTAGGAATATTAAAGAATTATCACAATGATTTGAGTGTGATTTGATTTGACTTACATTTTCTGGACCGGCTTCTTCCGTTTCTTCGCCGCGTAAAGTGCCGTGCTCGGCAGCATGGTGAACTCAGAGCACACAAAGTGGAAGAAAGTGGCTTTATCCCCGGTTTAATGTACACGTTAACAGCTCCAGACGTCTCACAAGATTCAAATCACTTGAAAATGACAATAATGTTGAAAATGAGGCAGAAAGTAAGTAGAAATCCCCTTGACGCTCCCCGGCTGCGTCTGCAGTGTAAAAAAAACTACTTTTCGTTTTCTTAAGCTACTCCAAACGTCCGTAAGACGTTAGCAAACTGTCGCAACTTTTCATACTGACGACGTTTACGTATTTCCGCACAGGTTTATCGACGATTCCGTGATTTTTAGAAGTTAAAAAGAGCTCGAGAAGTCCTCGGAGGATTTTTATGTAAGTCCCCTGTCTGCGCGTCACCTCCGTTGTGATTTGACAGGGTTTCTGCTGCCGCCGCGCGCTCCCGTCGCGGTTTGTGTGTGTGTGTGTGTGTGTGTGTGTGTGTGTGTGTGTGTGTGTGTGTGTGTGTGTGTGTGCGTGCGTACTTGTGTTTTTGTGTGTCACTGCAACGCGAGAGCAGAAATTTTTAAGGTGGTCCGAATGTGGGCCAACTTAGACTGACAATGCAGACGAGGAATGACTGGAAAACCGCATTCCACCCGGGAAGACCTTAAGGAGGATTTTTTTTCATTGTCATCCTGTTACAGTACAGTATTTAATTTAGGAAAAAATAATACATAGTACAGTATAGTACATACAACTACTGTATCATAATATTATGAATCTTAAAATATTTACAAATATGTCCATAATATTAACATTATCAATAAATATATTTTTATATTTACAATTATTACCGTACATTTACAACCAACATAAATAATTAAATTAAATTAATAAATAATAAATATACTACAGTGTTAATAAATCTATAAAAACAAAAATTATATTTACTAATATTACAGTAAACTCAAATAAGTAAAATTACTATGGTATTGATAATGTAAATGTATAAATATTATAATATTTCACATTGAAAATACTTACAGTACAATACAAAATCTACCATATTTCTGATAAATCTATTTACATTTTAAAGTTATACAATATAGTCAAATAAATACATTTGATATGGCATTAATGTATCTATTTACATACATGTGTATATGCAGACTATATATATTACATATTATATACATTGTTATTATATATATATACTATATGTTTAAATAAATTAATATGTTATGAATCAATAATTAAAATGTCTTCGTATGCTAATTTTAGAGAGAGATACAGGTTCAACTGAGCTCTCAAATCCTCCAAAGGACACATTGTCATGATGGAGGATGCTGACCCTGAACTGGGACACAGCTTATGAAACTACAAGTCTGTTTATATAGCCTTAAAATACCTGGTGATCAAGTTGGAAACAAAAGCTGATGAGATTTTCCCAGGACTATACTGCATGTCCGGGGAAAACAATATCTAACATCAGTCAGATTTTGTTTGACATTTTAAAAACACATAATTTGGCTTTACAAATGGTAAATTTGTTACTTGTTCCTCTAACTGGGTTGTTATCTACAGGTGAAGGTTCAGTTTTCTTTCCCCTCTTGCTTAACTCTGCCTGTACTGGCAAATGTTTGTAGTTGTAACATGAATCAGCCAAGGTGCATGTGCATGTATTCAATGTTTCGGTCATCTGGCAGTCAGTCACCGCGTCCTCCTACACTCTGTCAGAGTGAGGTGAGCCGGCTTTTACAGAGTCATGAATTTGAAGCATTCCTGTATCGTTCATTGTATTCAGTGCAGCCAATGTCAACGTAATATATCATGGTGTTTTTGTGCATGGCGAGGGATTTGCTCCAGCATGCCATGGACCAAATAAAAAAATAAAAAAATCAATTCTTATGACCTAAACCAGCTTGAAAATAAAAGCTCAGAGATGAGGAGCTTCATTGGTTCTGTCACAATATTTGTTATCCAACATCTGTCGGATACAAACTAAGTGGAATTTTTGGGTTGTGACTTCTCTGAGCTGTCACGCAGCAGGATTCTTCTGGATGGAAAAAATGACAATAAATGACATGAAACACAAGCGGGTTTTTTATTTGCTGAGTTTAAAGTTCAGTCCAAGAGTTACCGTGCTGCTTTGTGATGCAGAAAATTCATTTCAGGCTTTTTATCAATAGATTTATTACCCGTTTTATTTAACACAAAAATCCTGACACAAAAGATCTGAAACTGAAACATAGAGCTACAACTTTTGCAGGTACAACAATAGAGAGAGGAACCCCTTTAAAGCAGTGAAATGCTGTTTTAAAAATGCAGGCATTAGATAATGATACTCACCTTCTTCCAAAGTCTGATGAGCAGCAGCCAAGATTATGTCAAATCAGAGTTGTTGCCATAATTTAATCCATGTTTTATTCTCTTTTACAAAATGCGGTGTAATATTTTATCCTATTGACGTTTGAGTTTATTTATGATTCTTTGCATTTGAAGAGTTTGGAGGGTCGTGTATTTCTCCCTCACTTTCCAAAACCAGAAACACAAGAGCAAAAAGATGAGACATTTTTAATTATCATTATAATTAATGATTATAATTTATCTACCTAATTTAAGCCGCAATTGTTGGCATGCCAGTCTACTGTTAAATTAAAAGAGCCATGTTGCACTGTGTGGGAGCCAGACCTGGATGCTACTACTGTACATAAGAGTGGAGGCTGTATTAGAGTCACGGTTCATGGACAGTTGTCGTCTTCATCAATCACAGCGGTTTCTGCTGAGAAGAGTTTTTGTTACTAACAAAGATGGCTGCCGCTGACGTTGAGAGCGCCTCATCATTGTCACCACAGAACACAACGCAGCCAACATCGGCCGTCTCAAAGCACACACGGGTCACAGGTACAGTATTTGATCCAAACCCAAATTATTGAATCATAATAATCCTTCCATTAGTTGTTGAGATATTTGATTATTGATATTAAGAGGACCTGAGTGGTGGAGCATCCATCCAGAACCGAACCACAGGGATTCCACCGAGGTGAAGAGGACCTTTGAACCAGCACTAGGTCATCTGTTCCTTTACCTTGTGACGATGATGATAATGATGATGATACTTGTTCAAACTAATCTACTTTAGTTATATAAACCATCCTGTGTAAGGATTTTTTTTCTGCTTCCTCATAATTAAAATGTACTTCTCATTTGCGACTGCTTTGCATATAAAACAGTTCCAGGTTGGCTGGCAGCGCTGAGGGGGAACTCTTGGCATCCATGTTGCCATGGCAAGACGTTGTGTTTAACGTTAAACACGGCAGTTAAAAGTCAATAGCTATCTACAATATGCCACCCTCTGGCCCTATTAAAATGCAACCTTTGTTTTAAAATACACCCTGTTTTAATACAGCCTGGCTTGAACCCCGAGTGTCTGGCAGCCGCACTCGCTCACTTTTCTTTATGAGATGCTTTTAAAGAGCCAAAGCTTTTTCTCTTTCTGCAGCCCGGCTCTGTTTTTCTGTCTTCAACGTGTACGATTTTGACAAGGATGACAGGTTGATTTGCAACTGCGAAAGCCTGGAGTTAACGGCTTTGTGATCTCAAGAAGCTAATTGAGCCGAGCGGTTGTTGCTCTTAATTGAGACATCCACAAAGTGATTTATGGCGGTAATTAAAACTAATGATAGTGCTTTTTAAAGGATAATAGGTAACCGAGATCCTTGGCTGACAACATGATTAAGAATCAGTAGTTTTTTTTTTGTGTTTTTTCTCTGATCAGAACTTGTCAGTTGCAGCGGCCTGTTTTTTGTTTTTTGGGATGAACCATCCAGAGGGCAGAGCGGGTTAGGAAACCAGGAGCTGTTGTTCCTCATCATTAGCATGCTCCATGACTAAACTCCACCACTTTATATATTTGGAGGCACCAAAACAGGCCGAAGAGCAGCGGTAACTTTCCACTGTGCCACCGCAGGCTGCTGCCGCATTTTTATTGCAACATGTAGAGGTGGCATTTACACGGCGGTAAACGCGCTCCCAAAGTCCGTCTACAACTTGAGAGCTTAGTGTTTTCCGTCATGTTTTTAAGTTTGATTTAAAGCAGGGGGGGGGGGCCCTCTCTCAGCCCTCCACAGTGGGGCCTTGCTCGGCAGCAAGTCACATTTCACAGTTACCAGTTTCTTTCTATTTTCTATCATATTTTCCAAAAAGAAGTCAAACATCTAAACAACTATTACATCAAATAACGGTCCCTCTATGAATGACATCTTGGTCCTCAGACCTCCTGATGAAATGAGAGGTTGTTGTTGAGACTTGAGACTTTCCGGTGTTCTTGAAATATCTCATGTCGTTTCAAATGTACTGTTTTCATTTCTTCTTTTTACTCTGTCTATCTTTGTCTTTGTCTTTCTGCTTTGAATATGTCTAAGCTGCTGTAACAAAAAAAGTTACGTGACCTTCAGTTCTTCTTTCTTTTCACCCAAGGCTGTGATAAACCCAGAGAAAAGAGGCCAAAGGTCATTCATACACATATCTTATATCTTAAACTATGTCTGGTTCTGTAGAACAAAGACCACTGGTCTTGTATTCATCTTGAACACTGCACTTCTGTATATTTAGTAACATTTTATTTTATTTCCCTGCGTAATTTGGCTCTAATTATGTGGAAATTGGGAATGTTCTTGAAAGAAAAGCTCAATTTAAAACCAATATTCATTCATTATTCATTTATTATTGGAAGCTTTGTTCTTTATGGAAGTTTTATTGTATTTCTGCCTGTAGACAAATTTCTCATCTTTGCTTGTTTAGCTGATCTACTGTGGCTGACTGAAAGACTCTGTCACTATCAATTAACTGAAAATGTACCAGTTGAACAATATTTATTTTCTCTATGATTTGAACCAGATTACATAGTTCTTTGTTGGAAATTTATTGCGCTCTTTAAAGAAATTACAGACGCTCAATATAAAGGTCATCCAATTAAAAAGAAGAATGTCATTTTTAGATTTAAAAAGAAAAAGGCTCACAAAAGCGATTTGCTCTACTTACATACAGATCTCAAATAAAGGCAACGCTATTCACAAATGAAAGACAAATTTACAAATGCCACAAGGCGCTCTCATTGTCATGCATGGGTCACAAGTACAGTGTTGTTTTGATTTGTGAAATGTGTCAAATGAACAGGATGAAATTGTCTCATGTTGCAAATATGGAGAAACAAGTCCCTAGATAACAGAGAAATGCAGCTTCAGAGGGAAAATAAGCCAATCCTCCTGACTTTTATTGTGAAGTTCAACTTTAGTAGGAATCCAACTTCACAATTAAAGCCAGGATGATCAAATTTGTCTTATGTAAACTATAATGAACACTGATGGTGACAGCCCTGACCGCATACTCTTGTGTACTTTTGGTC